TCGGGCAATTCGCCAGAATGGTGAGGCTCTGCTGTGTCTCCCGTTCTTATTATGTTTAACACGCAGCATTGCTTTCGCGACCAATATTACTCGTAATCAAGGTTTTTGGGTGAGATCGAGGAAGTATAAATATTGTGTCGTAACCCTCCACCACCCGACACGGCCAATCAGCAAGGCAAATCGCCCGATGACGCTGCATGTAATTAGCAGCGAAACGTCGCGGTACTCAAATTGTAAATGTTTGCGGATTTACTCTCCAACACACCAGTGGGCTGAAGTAGTACACTACACTATACACTACACACCACACTATACACTCTACATTACACTATACACCACACTATACTCTACATTACATTACACACCACACTATACACTACACTATACACTACCTACATTACACTATATACTTCACTATACTCTACATTAAACTATACACTACACTCTACATTACACTAGACACTACACTATACTCTACACTCCACATTACATTATACACTACACTAGTTAGTCGGGTGGTGGAGGGTTACGACAATATTTAAACTTACGCGAAAAAACACCTTTGTTATGAAGAGCAATTTCACAACACTAATAAATCACCTTGCACCCCCCCCCCCCCCCCCCCCCCGGGACATTGCTTGTGGCACGCGGCACGCGAGCAGACGAGAGGAGGGCTGTGGCCTTCATCGTTATTTTTAGAGACATCTCGCGAGGGAGCCGAGGCCGAGACCAGGATTGTTAAAGCATCCACGTCTCTGGTGACACGGCCATTGTGACCCCCCCCTACCACCCCATCCGCCCCCCCCCCCCCCCCCGGTGCTCGTTAGCGCCGCTGAATCGCGGAACCGCCGCCGGCACGGTTGCCGGAGCGACTGAGATCAACGAGCCGCCGATTGAACGGCGCCACGACGGTCGGCCGGTGCTCAACCTCCGGGCGAGCAAAGCGGCGGCAAAGCCCCCGAGGTGTACCGTGACCCCCCCCCCCCCACCCCCGCAGGCCGACTAATTACTCTCTCTCTTGCTCCGGACAATCATCTTCACATTCCAGCGACGTTAAAAACCGAAGCGGGCGAGTTTCAGATTGAAGTTTGGAGTTTTACGGGCGATTTCATATTTACATATTTTTTTGGGGGGGGAATTTTCAGAGCGTTTCCACGGCGTGTCCGTGTGACGCGACGGCGGCCACGACGACGATGGCGATGACCGTGACGACGGTGACCATGGCGACGAAGGCGGCCGTGGCAACGATCGCAATGATAACCGTGACCGCGGCAACGATCGCAATGACGACGATGAAAGCGACGATGGCGCCAGGTGCCCAACCGGTGTACATGCGACGTCAATCCGAAACAAAATCACCGTGCGGACCCGGTCCGAAATTTCGTATTTCATGGCGGATTTTCCGGAAGCTTTTTGTTTTGGAACGGTTAGAAAATCGTGAGCGCATCACCAGGCACTAACGAGAGCACTGGGCTGGGATCATCTCACTTAGTAGCTCCGCTCCTGCGGTCACCGACTTCCCACTCAGTGTTAGAGTTCCAAGTCGGATATAGAAACCATTTCAATGTCATACTATTTGCTTCATTTTACCAGGTCAGGCCCCACTGAGCTATGCAGCTCTTTCAGAAGCGACTTATCGTCATCACGTGGGATTTATAGCAGCAGCAAAATTCTCTGAACGCGTGACGCAGACTTTAAAATGCGGAGGGAAAAACCGCAGGACCCGGGAGAAAAATCCACGCGACAACGGGGAGAGAAAGAGAGAGAGACGCAAACTCCAAATATATACGGTTGGCGTCAGGATCGGGGTCGAACTCATGACCTCCTCCTGCATACCAGACAAGGAAGTTAACATCGCCACCGTCGCGCCCCTAGCAAGTCGAATATATAACAAGGCGCAGGCAGACATGCAGAAAGATCCCATCTCTAAACATCTACAGGAAATTACAGCAAAACCAAAACACACAGATCCCCCGTGTAGCCTGTAACAGACTGTTGGGACAAGTGCTGTTAAGCGAGCAGCATCTATGAAAGCTGGCACGGCACACGAGGGAGTGGATGGCCAGCACCACGCCCGACCGCCTTTGTCTCCCCAAGGGCGATGTTTTCACTTAGTCATTTGAGGCCGAGTCGACCTAGGGGAGTCCCAGGACAGCTACCGATAACCGTCACTGGTGTTGGAAGTGAGCGGGAACTGAACTCGGGTCGCGGGTCCATAACGCGTCGCGCTAACCGCTACACCACACACGCACGCACACACGCACACACGCACACACGCACACACGCACACACGCACACACGCACACACGCACACACGCTGCACCGGGTGCGGTGGGGGCGGCTAATCCACCAGGGCGGCAATGTGACGGTTGGACACGTGGCGATGCCTTCTTCTGCTCGTTCTTATGCAATGCCCCCACCCAGCCCCTACCCCCCCCCGATCGAGATCCAAACTCGTGGCTCTTTGGCTTTCGAGCCGCACGCCCGGACCGCAGGCGGCGGGTAACCCCCCACCCACCCACCGCCCTCTCCCCCCCCAGCACCAATGGCACCATCGCTTTTTCTGCGGATCAGAGGAAGTTCACTCCGGGAAAACAAGAGCTTGACCCGGTGTTGTCGTTAAAGTTACGCTCGTTGCTCGCGCTCGCACCTCGTGCTCGTCGCCAACTTTGCCAATCCAAGACGGGGGGGGGGGCGGGACAAAGGTGCATCTCTTTCTCACCAACCCCCCCCACCCCAAACCCCCTCCCCCAACTCTCCCACGACACCCTCCTAGAGACGCGAGCTCGATTCCGAGCAAGCAAACCGCCAGAGCCACGCACTTTCACATCATCTCGACCGAACACTCATTTCTTGAAAAAACTGCTTTGCGCGCGTCAAGTTTGAAGTCCTTCCCCCCACTCCGCCCACCCGCCCGCCCCTCCGATCAGCGCCGTGCCTCCCAGCTGCCGGATTGAGGAGAGAATTAAGCGGCCGTGCTCAAAGGGCGCTTTTGTCTTCCCACAGCGAGCAACGCCCTGTAAGGGGTGGCTGGTGGTGGTGGTGGGGTGGGGGGTGGAGGGTCAAGTGCTTACGTAATAATCCCACACCCAGGCACGGACCGCGCAGGAGGGAAACGCCGCGGCGAGAGGCGCGAGGCCACGCCAAGTCGTCCTGTGCCTCCGTGGCGAGGAGATGTCACCTCGCCTGGCGTGCACGCGAGGTCGTGGGTTCGATCCCGACCCCTGCTGTGTATTTGGAGATTGCGTGCGTCTCTCTCTCTCTCCCTCTCCCCCTGTGGTCGCGTGGATTTTACTCCGGGTCCTCCGGTTTTTCCCCTCCACATTTAGAATCGACGTCACGCTTTTTCAGAGTATTTGGCTACTGTCAACTTCCACACGACGACGACGACGACGATAAACCACGTCGTTAAGCTTTTCATTCGTGACGGCCACTTCTGAAAAATAGCTGAACAGCTCGGTTTTACCTGGTAAAAATAAAAAAGTCAGTTTCTAGTTTTAACTTATTGGAGGTGAAATGTGGGAAGCAGTTTCCCCCTGGGGGGCCCAGGGCTGGAGGTCTCTCGATCGCCCCACCCCCCCATTCTGGACAGCCGTGGGGGAAAGCAGCAGCAGCCGGACTGCGGTGATAAGCGCACAAACAACCTCACCCCGATCATCATCCAGCGAGCTAACCACTGCGCCACCGCCCGCACACAGCAAGGAGAGATAGCGAGAGAGAGAGAGAGCGTGGCACAGAGACAGAGAGAGATAGCGAGAGAGAGAGCGTGGCACAGAGACAGAGAGAGATAGCGAGAGAGAAACGGGGGCGGCAGGGAATTATTCTGCCGCGCTTTGAGGGGCCGGCGGAGGGGCCCCCCTCTCGGCAAATTCGTCCCGCAAGAAAAAGAAAAGATCGATAACTCCATCTGCCCCGCTCGCTCCTTGGCGGCGGTCACAGCTGCGACAGAGGAATTTGACTCATCTCACTTGCACTCCAAGTCCCCCCCCCCAAGCCATCGCTTCACACGCAGCCTTCACCCCCCCCGCCCCCCCCTGCCCCGTCGTCGTGCGGAACTTTATAGCAGGCAAATGACTTTGAACGCGTTGACGTTGACACTAAACGTGGGAGGGGAAAAATAACTGGAGGACGCCGGAGAAAAATCCCCGCAACCATGGGGAGAGAGAGCGAACACGCGCACGCCAAATATACAACCAGGCGTCGTCAGGGTCAGGATCGAACCCACGACCTCCTGTATACCAGGCGAGGTAGTCAACATCTCGCCACAACGGGACCCCCCCACTGACCGCGTCCCCACCCCCACCTCTCTCCCCCGCCTCCCCAAACAACAGAAATTCATGTGGACATCATTAAGAGCCCTTGAACAGCGAGGGTCTCACCGTCGCAAGGTAAGGGAGGAGGGGAGAGGTTTAAGAGTCTGAAATGTGTTCAAAATTCTGCATCTGACCTACTGCTGCTGGTCCCACTGCGGTGCCACAACGTGACTGCAGCTCTGAGAACCCCCCCCCCCCAACTGCCGCCATTGCAAAACCCGCCCACTTTCACATAGCCCCGCCCACTGTCCCGCAGAGGTCGCAAACGGGTTTTGATTCCGTACCCGGCCGCACCAGGGTCGCAAACGGGTACCCGTACCCGGCCGTACCCGTACCCGGCTGGGTACGGGTAGGGTACAGGTATCGGGTACCCGATTGCGACCTCTGGGATGAAGCCATGTTGCAGGCGCAGGTGGGTTGATTCTAGGAACTTGAATTGTGAGAAGAGACAAGACGTTGGGAAATGAGTGACAAACGGTGACTCACCAGTGACTCACGGCCTACCCGTACCCGTACCCGGCCGCACCGGGGTCGCAAACGGGTACCCGTACCCAGCCGGGTACGGGTAGCCGGGTATCGGGTAGGGTACGGGTATCGGGTACCCGGTTGCGACCTCTGCTGTCCCGGCAGCCCCCGGGCCCACTGCCCGCATCACGGAGGGTCACAGCTTTTCTAAACCAACGGCACCACCCCGCGCCCATTCCGTGCCCCGTGCCGGCGCCGTGCCGGGTTCCCGCGCCCGGGAGGAGACCCGCGCCGCTGCGCCGCCCTCACCTGGGTGGCCTTGTCCCGCACGGCCGGCGCGGCGGGGTGGGGGTGGTGGTGGTGGTCGCGGGGCCACTGGCCCGTCAGGTACACCCCCGCGATGGCGTCCAGCGGCGCGGGGCAGCCGCCCCCGCCGCCCGCCGTGGCCCTGCGGGCGGGGCCCCCCACGGAGGGGGAGGAGGAGCTCGTGCGCGCCACGCGCTGGCGCTCTCCTCCTGCTGCTGCTGCTGCTGCCGTCGGGGTGCGCGGAGAAACGGCAACAGCGGGGGAACGCGTTACGGAAATACTCAGCGACAGCACGTTTGTGCGGGGCGGGCACGTGGGCAGGGTGGTGCGGGGGGGGGCACGTGGGCAGGGTGGTGCGGGGGGGGGGGGAGCACGTCACGTGGGCAGGGTGGTGCGGGGGGTCACGTGGGCAGGGTGGTGCGGGGGGGGGTACGTTGGCACGGTGGTGCGGGGGCTGGCACGCCAACACGACAGGTTAACCCCTGTCGGCATTCTTTCGCGCGCACTTCAGGGTCGGACACAACAATCAAACGAATTCTCCCTGGCACGCAAACCAAGCCCCACGTGTGGGCCAGTCTCTGTCTAGAAACCCAGTCACAGGCCGGTCTGGAGAGCCGGGTCAGAGATCGGTCTGTGTGTACACTGCGTAGACACCCAGGTCACAGACCGGCCTGCCAGTTTGTCTACATTCGCACGCTAGAACTTCTTTCGCACCACACGGAGCCGTACGCTGCCTGCCGTGCCGATCGGAGGTGCCGACTTCCCCACAATGCCAGACTCATCCCTCTAGCCAAGCCCAACTGCACTGACACCGGGCCCTCTCTCTGCGCGTGTCTGTGTGTGTGTGCGCGTGTCTGTGTGTGCGCGTCTGTGTGTGTGTGCGCGCGTCTGTGTGTGTGCGTGCGTGCGTGTCTGTGTGTGTGCGCGTGTGTGTGTGCGTTTGCGGGGATCAGAATTCTCAGTCTCCCTGGCGAGTCCGATCACTAAGACCGCTGGAGGATATAGCAACTGGACTGCGTGCATCGGGGAGTGGGGGAGGAGGAGGAGGGGGGGGTTAGCGGGTGATGGGGATTGTGGAATTCTTTTTTTGGTAACGGCGAGAGATCCTCTTGACGCTACAGCGTGTGCGAGCGATTACCGCCGTATGGTTGCGATCGCCGCTGTGTTCTCGACACGCCGGAAAGGCAAGGGGGGGGGGGGGTCCGCGCACGCGTGCGCACTCCACGATTGTGAATTCATATTTATATATTATTATACTAATAATAACATTTTACGCAAGTTTCCGCTCCATTCGGTTCACGTTGCAGGAGCGAGAAAAGGGACGCAGACTCGCACCACCACCACCACCGTTACAACCACAACCACCGTAACAACCACCACCACCGTAACAACCACAACCACCACCACCGTAACAACCACCACCACCGTAACAACCACAACCACAACCACCGTAACAACCACAACCACCACCACCGTTACAACCACAACCACCGTAACAACCACCACCACCGTAACAACCACAACCACCACCACCGTAACAACCACAACCACCACCATCAGCACGCATATGCAAACCGGCACCGCGCCACCACCGTAACCACCACCACGCGAACGCATACCAATACCACCCCACCACCACGCCAACACAAATCGACTCCACACCAGCACCCCCTTCTACACACCGCATATAAAAACCGATCCACCATCGCCACGACCAGCACCACCACGCGTACACAGACACCTCCACCACCACAAACCCCCCGTTTGGCAGTGGGCCACTCGGGAGGGAGGGGGGAGGGATTGAGGGGAGGGAGGGGGGAGGGATCGAGGGGAGGGGGGAGGGGTTGAGGGGAGGGAGGGGGGAGGGATCGAGGGGAGGGGGGAGGGGTTGAGGGGAGAGAGGGGGGAGGGATCGAGGGGAGGGGGGAGGGATTGAGGGGAGGGATTGAGGGGAGGGATTGAGGGGAGGGAGGGGGGAGGGATTGAGGGGAGGGGGAAGGAATTGAGGGGAGGGAGGGGGGAGAGATTGAGGGGAGGGAGGGGGAGGGATTGAGGGGAGGGAGGGGGGAGGGATTGAGGGGAGGGAGGGGGGGGAGGGACTGAGGGGAGGGAGGGGGGGGAGGGACTGAGGGGAGGGAGAGAGCTACTCGCGGCCCGTGACCCACATCGAGCTGGCGGGTGGGCAGAGCGACGCTGCGGCTGCCAAAAGGCAGCGAACTTTCCTGGAAAGCTTCAAGCGCGCAGCTACACGCCACGCGCAGCCACGCTGCCACGCACAGGCACACGCCACGCGCAGCCACACGCCACGCGCAGCCACGCTGCCACGCACAGGCACACGCCACGCGCAGGCACGCGCCACGCGCAGCCACACGCCACGCGCAGCCACGCTGCCACGCGCAGCCACGCTGCCACGCGCAGGCACACTGCCACGCGCAGCCACACGCCACGCGCAGGCACACTGCCACGCGCAGCCACGCTGCCACGCGCAGCCACACGCCACGCGCAGGCACACTGCCACGCGCAGCCACGCTGCCACGCGCAGGCACACGCCACGCGCAGCCACGCTGCCACGCGCAGGCACACGCCATGCGCAGCCACGCTGCCACGCGCAGGCACACGCCACGCGCAGCCACGCTGCCACGCGCAGCCACGCGCAGCCACACGCCACGCGCAGCCACGCTGCCACGCGCAGGCACACGCCACGCGCAGCCACGCTGCCACGCGCAGGCACACGCCACGCGCAGCCACGCTGCCACGCGCAGCCACGCTGCCTTGCGCAGCCACACGCCACGCGCAGCCACGCTGCCACGCGCAGGCACACGCCACGCGCAGCCACGCTGCCACGCGCAGCCACGCTGCCACGCGCAGGCACACGCCACGCGCAGCCACGCTGCCACGCGCAGGCACACGCCACGCGCAGCCACGCTGCCACGCGCAGCCACGCTGCCACGCGCAGCCACACGCCACGCGCAGGCACGCTGCCACGCGCAGCCACGCTGCCACGCGCAGGCACACGCCACGCGCAGCCACGCTGCCACGCGCAGGCACACGCCACGCGCAGGCACACGCCACGCGCAGCCACGCTGCCACGCGCAGCCACGCGCAGCCACGCGCAGCCACGCTGCCACGCGCAGGCACACGCCACGCGCAGCCACGCTGCCACGCGCAGGCACACGCCACGCGCAGCCACGCTGCCACGCGCAGCCACGCTGCCTTGCGCAGCCACACGCCACGCGCAGCCACGCTGCCACGCGCAGGCACACGCCACGCGCAGCCACGCTGCCACGCGCAGGCACACGCCACGCGCAGCCACGCTGCCACGCGCAGGCACACGCCACGCGCAGCCACGCTGCCACGCGCAGGCACACGCCACGCGCAGCCACGCTGCCACGCGCAGCCACGCTGCCACGCGCAGGCACGCAGACGGCCCAGACTGCAGACACGTGACGCGCTATCAGGCAGGGCCATCGCAGAGGCACGGGCACACAGCCACCACTCTCCGTCACGCCACCTCCGATGCACACAGCCGTGCATCACCACCCCCACCCCCCCCCACCAGCCCCACCAGCCAGTCCACCCACGCTCTCCTGTCAAGGCCCGCGTGGTGCACGAAGGGGGGGGGGGCTTCTAGGTCGAGTGGCCGACAACTATCCCACCAGCCCACGTGACCCTGCCCCACCCCACGTGTGTGCCGATGTTCACGGACTGTACTCGTTTTCGGCCGAGTCGACTTGGGGGAAAGCCCCGGAGGACAGGCATGTACTGTACCAACAACGACGACGCCCGCCAGTCAGCCACCAAATTGCGGTGGACGTCGTCACCACGGCGCCTGTGCCAGGCTAGGTGCACTTTGAGGCTACCACGTGAATTTCGAAGGCTCGCTGACAGGAGGTCACGGGACAGACCCTGCAGGTGCCATGGGTTGGCCGACTGAGATGACCGGTAGATGCACCACCAGCTGTACCCCCCTACTGTGCCAGGCTAGGTGCAGGAGGAGGAGGTCGCGGGACAGACCCTGCAGGTGCCATGGGGTTGGCCGACTGAGATGACTGGTAGATGCACCACCAGCTGTACCCCCCTACTGTGCCAGGCTAGGTGCAGGAGAAGGAGGTCACGGGACAGACCCAGGTGCAATGGGTTGGCCGACTGAGATGATCGGTAGATGCACCACCAGCTGTACCCCCCCCCCCCTCTACGGTGCCAACTTGTGTTTTAGCCGCCCGGCGCTCTGCTCGTTGTTGTGAGCGTCGCTCCTCTGCCTTCCGTTGTTGCATGGAGGGCGACTGCCTCCAACTGACCAGTAGCAACGTCCTTCACGAGCCTCCTTCATATACACATACACAACTTGCTAACGATTATACAGTTCATCGATTATTCAGCGGTCCCGGGCCGATCTGGGGAAACCGCAAAACCGCTGCAAGGAGGAAACCAGTCCGGTGATCGGCACCGCGTGTGTGACAAAAAAAAAAGCAGCAACACCTGAATTCAGTGTCAAATATTACGTACGGTACATTATACACTACACGCAACTTAAACAATGAAAATACTACATACATCTGTCATGACTCATAGCTGCAGTAATAAGGACAGAAAGTATACACGACCCGGAGAAAAGTGCGCCGTGTCATGCGGCGTTTGCCGGAGAGCCGGCCTAAAAGGCTGCATCGGTCCGGCGATTTGCCAAAAAAAGACGTTGAAACAAGAGCGTCGCTACGTAATGCCACCACCACACGCAGAGTCTTCGAGATTTGTAGTGGCAAGTACGGTACAGTAAAACACGGTCACTTTCTACAGCAGGATATGTATTTTTTTTTGCCTCTGTACGTTTCTTTATGACAATTTAACATCGTAAACACATAAAGAACACACACACAAAAGAAAACCGCACACGCACAATACCCACAAACATTATATTTTGATTTAAAGCTTTCGTGACTGCAGGGATTCGTATTCTTGTTTCGACTGCAACACAAGCAATCATCATCAGGTGTAAAATCCACAGCAAGGAAAACTAATTATGTTAATTTCACACCTGATGATGATTGCTTGTGTTGCAGTCGAAACATCGTGAGAATTTGATTGTTTCATATATTTATTATTTTATTAATTCCCTTCTACGCGACTTTACCGAAAGAACCAAGAACACAAACATTATGTTAGACTAAAATGTGCAACAACAAAAAAGCCAATTTAAACGACGATGATTATCTTCCGTTTTTGAAAA